AGCAACTAGGTGGGTACCGGGAGAGAAGTGGGAGGGGTACGCAATTCTTCAGGGTATGGAAAAAGCGGACAGAGATGCGTTTTTCTCCCTCTCAAAACGCTGGAGCCCAGCAGAAGCCACGCATGCAACTGAACGGACAAAACAAAGCACTTCTTCAGAATTCGCATTGAGCTGGGGTTGGACTACATGATCTCGAAGTACCCTTCCAAGTGTATGATTCCCGTTGCTACATAGTTAAACTGTGGGATTCCCTGCCAGAAGTAGTATGATAGTCACCCATTTGGGTGGCCTTAAAAGGAGATCAGGCAAATTCATGGTGGGTAAGGCTTCTAGTCCTCATGGCCATGTGCAACATCTAGTATCAGTGGCAGGATGCCTGTGTATACCAGTGGTTGAAGAACATGGGTGGGAGGGGACTGCTTCACTCATGTCCTGATTTTGAGGTTCTCATCCGGTCAGCCATTATGTGAGCTTCGTTTTCTCCTTCTCCCTCCCAATTTATTTTTTTCTTTTATGACTTTTAAAGTGAGGTCCTGAAGGCACAACTGTGTAAGTTGCTCAGGGAACGTTTTTTTGGCTGAAGAGCACAGTATGCATGCCATAAATACCGAAATGAATAAATGGAAGGTGGGAAAAATCCAGCAGTTAAGACATAGGAGAAAACAGTGAGACAGAGTTGGAAAAAGCTGTCCATGAAGCAATTGCTAAGTGTAAAATTCCCCTTGAAACATCCAAAATACTGGAGGCGCTTTTAGTGGAAATTCATCTAAATCTCATCCATGACAAAAATAGCTAAGAAGGGTCACCTGTCTCTCTATCTGTCCGTCTATTTGATTTATATCCCACCTTTTTCTTTTTTAAAGAAATCAAAGAGGCTTACATCACTCTCATCCTCCTGCTCCCAATTGTACCTGCAGAACAACAACCCTGTGAGGTAGGTTGGATTGAGAGTCTGTGACTGCTCAAAGTCACCTAGTTGATTCCATGGCTGAGCAGAGACTAGAACCCAGGTCGCCTGAGCACTGCTCCACCGAATTGCTTTCTCTGGTTTTTTGTCCCGTTACAACCACACATACCTTAAGCCTAAAACAAAGCCTAGGTGACGCATGCATGAGACAGCTCAGCAGAGAACACAAGGCACTCTGCACTTGCCCAGGGGTGCTCTGATCAGTCTGATTTCATACAGTGCAGGGGTAATCTTGAGTGCTTATTGCAAAACTGCAACGAAGTGCATGCCAGAGTCTCTCTGCCTCTCTTTTATTTTTATTTATGCAGTCATGATAATGCAAATGTTAAAATTCTTGCAAGAGGGCTCATGTTAAAAGGATTTTAAAATAACTAATAAAAACACATTAAAATACCAAAGAAAAAATCTTTAAAATGGCACAAGTGAATAGCTTTTTAAAAGCCACAGTAAAACACAAAGCCTCCACTGCTACCTGTTGGGCAGACATTCAGCAGGTGACGCTTTGCCACTCTATACATCTCAATGATGAGAACAGCACTCCCCATCTTCCCCATCTTGGACTACAACACCTACCAGACCTAGCCAGCACCTACCATGTCTAAAGGGCACCAGTTAGATTTCCACCTATCACATGCCTGCCAGTGGTACAGCAGCTGAGATCAAAATACCTTGAAATAGCAGCTAGGTTTGTGCACTGGGAAGTCCTGAGTTCAACTTTTGCCTCAGTCAAAAATTCACAAATAATGATGTTTACTAAACATCTGTAGACCTCATTGAATTTGCCACCTTATTTATTTAAAACTTTTCTCTACCATCCCTTCACAGACGTCTCGGGATGGTTTACAACAGATATAAAATAAAATAGAAATAAAAGTAGCAGTTGCACAGCATCTGATGTTAAATATAAAACCACTAAATAAAACAGGTTAACAATTAAAATACTGGGAGAATAAAAAGGTTCCTGAGTAAAAAGCAGCTTGGAGAGCAGATGGAAATATCAACTGAAATAAACCAGCAGGTTGGGGATTAACATTATTATTCTCATGCTCTGACCTTTTATTTTGGTTTAAAGGAACTAAACACAGAATTTGTACGATGGCCTCAGAGGTGCAGTTTGCAGTCCCCCTAAGCATACGCAGAGTGCTTCCTCCTCTATTCTCCCCTAAGTTTTTGATTAAGGAAGTTGCAGAATTTCCACAGCCCAAGGACACAATTCTGTGCAGGTTCAAAGAGAATGAAGGTCTTTTTCTCTCTAAATTGCACAGGACGGTGCCTTTAAAAAGCCTGTTGGACCATCCTGCCACGCCCCCTTTCCCCCAGCCATGGGTCACTGGGTGCCTTCTCTCCATCACTGGCTTTTGGGAAGGTCTCCATCCGAGCTAGAAAGACTGAAATGCCCTATGTAACAAGAACTGTAAGCTAAACTATATTGGACTTTTTGTGTCGTTGGCTCTTCCCCTTTCGCCTTGGCCCTGCCCATCTTTGGGACCGCCCCAGTGAATCTGAATGTGAATTTGGCCCTCCGAGTGAAAAAGGTTCCTCACCCAGGCAGTGGGAGACAGGAAGTGGGAACACGTTTGTGGAAGAAGATTCTGCCCTCGGGAGCAGCGCAGCGGTACCTCGGCTCACGAACTTAATCCGTTCCAGGACTCTGGTCGTGACCCAAACTGGTCGTGAGCCAAGTCAAATTTCCCCGTAAGGTTCAATGTAAATAAGGTTAATCCGTTATGTAACTATTATTTTTAATCACAAAAATTTGACGCAAAGTGACAAAGAACAACAAAGATGGCGGCCATCTCCCCCTCACCCCGAGCACGACTGCGATCGCGCCCATCATCCCTGCACGAGTGTTGAGTGCGGCCATGGACGGGCGATTGCGGGCTCGCTCCGGGGGGGGGGGGGGGGAGACGGGCGCGATGGCAATCGTCACCGAATGCAGAGTTCGCAACCCGAGGCAAATTTTTTCAGAAATTTCTGTTCACGACCCGATTTGGTCATGAACTGAGGCGTTTGTGAGCTGAGGTACCACTGTATTAGGAGGGCTGGAGACCCAAATCCCTGGGAACCCTTCTGCCCCCACACCTTGTGGTGCAAGGGAACCTGTTGAAGTGCAGTTTTAGGGGCCCTGATGCTCCCCGCAGCATCAGCTCCCCCTGGATTTGCTGGCTAGTTGTCCTGCTGCCCCAGCCCGTCTTTCTTCCTGATATTTTCCTGAAATAAAGTACCCCCTGCCCTTGGCCAGCCCTCCATTTTACCACCTGGGATCTCATTAAAAGACAGGCTGTTTTAAAGACTTTAAAGCACATGCAAATTAGCCTATGCAAAGTTGTACCTTTTTTGTCCTGCGAGCCCCAGAACTTTTCTGTACCTTCAGCAAACACAGCCTCAACATCAGCAAGGGATGAGTGTTTTGGAGGGCAGGGATTTATTAATTTAACAAGTTGCTTGTGTTTCCCCAATGTTTCAAATCTTCCATGTTTGAGTGAAGATGTTTTATATCCTGGGCAGGTGGGAAGAGTTATGCTTGGAGATCTTCTACGCTTGAACAGCGGTAGGGATCACTTCCTCCACATATGCATAGTTATCTATTTGTGTATGATTTGGGGCTGAGCCATAAAGCAAGCCCCCAAAACCACTGCCTTGAGTTGGCAATGCATTATCTCCCCCTCCCACGCAAACACACCCGGGTACCATCTCAATGAACTTCAGAGGTTCCAGGGTGGAGGGAACAAACGCATCCACACTCACTCACACTTTCAGAGCAAACTCCTGTTACAAAAGTCTGGCACCCTCCAAGAGTGGGGACTACAACCCCCATCACCCCCAGCTTGCTGAGAATGTAGTCTCCCACATCTGGGTGGGGCAGGTTAGTGTAGAGGTTGTTGCCCAGATGACTTAAACTTTCCGTCAGTGCTCGTGAGAGAGATTTAACAAAGATGGCAAAGACCTTCCTTCACAATTCATTTGTTCTATTTTGGGTGAATTATGTCGTGTTCCTCAAGCAGCCTGTGAAAATCCCTTTGTTCCAAGAGGCAAGAGTTACTCCATATATCTCAAAATGGAGAGGAAGGCAATTGTCAATGTATACTAGCAGTAAATGTGTTGGGTTGACCATTCAATCTACAGCTTCTGGTTTGAGAATCCTTCTAGAAATTACCCTGTTGGCAGGAAAACCCATCTCTGTTGAGGCAGGACAGGGCCAGAAAATGGGATGTTCAGTCAGTTAACTACATTAGATTGTAACTTCTCTAAGTACCTCAAAGGCTGTCCCAAAGAGGAAGGTCAAGGTCTCTTCTTGCTGTTGCCAGAGTGTGGGACACGGAATAATCAATTCAAGTTGCAACAACCCAGATTCAGGCTGGACATCAGGAAAAGCTTCTGCACTGTCAGAGCAATACCCAGTGGAACCAGCTGCCCAGAGAGGTGGCAGGCTCTCCCACACTAGAGACATTCAAGAGGAAACTGGACAGCCGACTGAGTGTGATTGTGTGAACTGGTGTCCTGCAACAGCAGGGGGTTGGACTCAATGGCCTTCATGGCCCCTTCAAACTCTACTATTCTATGAGTCTATGATTAATCATATTCCAGTGTATATTAAGAGTTGGGTTCTTGCTTTTTCCTTCCCATGCTTCCAAAACCTGGGTTTATTAAAAATGGCCTTGTCCAGCCAGTTTCCCTACAGATGTTTTGGACTATATCTCCCATCAACTCCAACCAGCATGACCAGTGGCAAGGGGGAGATACCATTTATAGTCCAAAAGATATGGAGGGCCACCAGACCAAGGCAGATTCAGAGTATTGGAGTTCCAACAATATGGGTGAGGAACTGGCAGTCCGTGGCCTGGAACTGTCCTAGAAGTCCATCCTGTTAGTCTTTCCTAGGCAGCCTCTCCCCCATTCTTTCTTACTGCAGGGCTCCAGTGTTCTGTATACTACCTGTGGATTGGGGTAGGCCTGCACAATCCCTTATGAAAAACCAAGATATCTGAATTCAAATTTAAGTTTCCTTTCTCCAGTGAAAAGATACCTATGATTTTCTTGCAGTGTGTATTTTCTGATGTGCAATAAGGTTTGAGCGCACCCTAAAGCTTTTCCCACATTCTTGACATTCATATGGTTTTTCGCCAGTGTGTATTCTCAGATGTCCAGTAAGGAGTGTGCTCACACCAAAAGTTTTCCCACATTCAGGACATTTGTATGGTTTTTCTCCGGTGTGAACTCTTTGGTGCCGGCTGAGTTGTTGGCTTACAGTGAAGCTTTTCCCACACTCCAGGCATTTATAGGGCTTTTCTCCTGTATGAACCCTCCGATGAGTAATAATCTGAGAACTGTTACAGAAACGCTTGCCACAGTCTGGACACTGGTATGGTTTCTCCCCAGTGTGAGATATTTCATGCCTAATCAGATCTGAACTCACACTGAAGCTTTTCCCACAATCTGAGCACTTAAATGGTCTGTCTCCGGTGTGGATTCTCTGGTGGTTCTTAAGGTGTGAGCTCTGGCGGAATGTCTGTCCACATTCAGTACATTTGTATGGTTTTTCCCCTGAATGAGTCCTCTTGTGTTTAATGAGCTGTGAGCTTACACTGAAACTTTTCCCACACTGCTGACACTGATACGGTTTTTCTCCATTGTGCGTCCTCGCATGAGCGATCAAGTTCGACCGCAGCCTGAAGGATTTCCCACAGTCAGAGCACTCGTATGGCTTCTCTCCAGTGTGAATTCTCTGGTGTGCAATCAGGCCAGTGCTCCGACTGAAGCTCTTGCCACACACGCTGCAAGTCCTTTGCTTCTTGACTTTTGGAGGTATTTGTTGGGTTGCGGTTTCATCAAAATCAGGAGCTACGTCTTCAGCTTTATCACCACTCTTTTCGGGGCAGCTTCCTGTGTGGGTCACCGTAGAAATGGAGGAAGTTGCTTGCTTATATTGATGCTGCAAACATCTTCTGGTCTCACACACGTCCCCTTGTTTGTGGCTATTCAAGTGCAACTGGCCCTCTGCCCGCCCACTCAGCAATTCGTCGTCTAAAGGAACAAAACAGCAAGGGAATTAAACCGATTCTTTAATACTGTTTATATTATTTAGTATTATTATTATTATTATTATAACATTTCTATGCCGCCCCTTGCCGAAACCTCGGGGCAGCTTACAACACGATAAAATACAATGAAATACAATAGCACATAATAAATTACCATTAAATACAAAATACAAAAAATACATTGATTTACAAATATAAGATTAAAATTATCAGTATAAATTAAGTAAATAAAAATATAGAAGGAGAAAGAGAAGGAAGAAGAAGTTGCCCTGGCCAGATCATATGTTTTAACAGTTAAAATGATGTTTAAATAAAAAGGTCTTTACCTGGCGCCGAAAAACCAGTAACGACGGTGCCAGGCGGACCTCTTTGGGGAGTGAATTCCATAGGTTGGGTGCCACCGCAGAGAAAGCCCTCCTCCGAGTACTTACTCTCCTAATTTCTTTCATGGAGGGTTCCCGGAGAAGGGACTCTCCCGCAGATCTCAAAGGGCGGTCGGGCATATACGGACGTAAGCACTCGTTCAGGTAGCCAGGACCCAAGCCGTTTAGGGCTTTGTAGGTCATCACCAACGCCTTGAATTGGGCCCGGGCTTCAATGGGAAGCCAGTGAAGCTGACGGAGGACTGGAGTCATGTGAGCATAACGCCCCGTCCCCATCAGCAACCTGGCAGCTCTATTTTGCACCAATTGAAGTGTTCGGACTGTCTTGCTTTATACTAATCCTGTGCTTTGAACTGCTATACTTTTGTGGATCTCTTTGGTTTCTTAAATTGAAAAGTATTTTAAGGGCACAATTGTCTCCTGACATCACCAAAAATGAGCCACAGTATGATGCAGCTACTAAAAATAAATGTTACCATAGACTGCATGTTTTAAAATTAATGTTATTGTGTACTTCAAGAAACAAGCAGGAAGGAAGGAGAAGGGAGAGGGAGGGAGGGAGGAGGGGAGGGAGGAAGCGGGAAATAGATAAAAATAAATTACTTACAACAGGTAAACCTTAGATTGCATTTACAGAAACAGCTCATACAAAGTTATGGGCCCATTCAGTTCAGGAGTCACTAAGCCATATCTGAATTACCTCATCCAGTTCTGAGTGCCACATTTTTAAAGCTACAGACTGGGGTGCAGAGCCTAAACCAGCCTGAGGACATTTGGTAGCCTGACAATCTAACCTAATGTGGTGCCCTCCAGATGGACTGAACCACAACTCCCATCATTCCCAGACAGCATGGCCACCAGGTAGGTGACACCTATTCAAACCCAAGAAGGGTCTCCACAGATTGGCCTGCAACTCCCATCATTCTTGACCAGTGGCTTCGATGAATGAGGCTGATGGGAGTTGCAGTCTTAGACACGAGGGGGGCTCCTGTTGAGCAAGGCTGCTCTAACCACTATACTGCACTGATTGTCCATATGACAGCATCCTTCCACCCTCAGTGCTCCAGCCCTATTTTGGTCAGACAGCGTCTCTGATCTTTCCTTGTCTGTGGACCTGGGGTGTGGAAGCACTTTCAGCCCAAGGGCCGGATTCCATTTCAAACAAACTCTTGAAGGGCAAGGTCAAAAGCAAAAGGGGCAGAACCAAGCACAGAAGAGGCAAACTTGAACTACCAGCCTCATTTATATTAAATTTAATTTAGATTGAAGCTTTCCTACCTCAGGAAAAGCTGTTCAACCTTTCATGGGGAAATACTGCGTAAAAGTGGGGAAACCACCAGTCAGTCAGTCATTAAAGAAGCTGGACCAAGGAGATGGTGTACAGCCTTCTGGGGAATCCTGGGGGAACGGGCCAGACTAGGGCCCCAAGCCTGTGGCTTTAGACCACTGCTTCAAATGGGATCAAGCTCTGGGTATGCCTCTGACCGCCACCATCATAGAAGGCCTGGTTGGTGACAACCAGGTGCGGGGCCTTCTCAGTGGCAGCCCATCAATTATGGAACAAGCTCCTCACGAAGGCCCAGCTGGTGCCAACTCTACTATCCTTTTGATGCCCGTTTAAAACTCATTTTCTAAAGGGTATTTAATCCATTCTAATAGTATATTGCAGTGCTATGTCAGCAATTTAACAGGTCTTACATCTTTTCCTGGGCTCCAAGATCACCGCAGATGGGGACTGCAGCCAAGAAATTAAAAGATGCTTGCTCCTGAGGAGGAAAGCTATGGCAAATCTAGACAGCATACTAAAAAGCAGAGACATCACCCTGCCGACAAAAGTGTCTATAGTCAAGGCTGTGGTTTTCCCAGTTGCAATGTATGGCTGTGAAAGCTGGACCATAAGGAAGGCTGAGTGCCAAAGGATTGAGGCCTTTGAATTGTGGTGCTGGAGGAGACTCCTGCGAGTCCCTTGGACCACAAGGCGATCAAGCCAGTCAGTCGCAGAGGAGATCAACCCAGACTGCTCTTTAGAAGGCCAGATACTGAAGATGAAACGCAAATACTTTGACCACCTAATGAGAAGGAAGGACTCCCTGGAGAAGAGCCTAATGCTGGGAACAATAGATGGCAAAAGAAGAAGGGGGCGGCAGAGGATGAGGTGGCTGGATGGAGTCACTGAAGCAGTCGGTGTGAACTTAGTTGGACTCTGGGGGATGGTGGAGGACAGGAAGGCCTGGAGGAATGTTGACCATGGGGTCGCGATGGGTCAGACACGACTTCGCAACTAACAACAACAAATTTATTGTACTTACTTAAATCTGGCTTCAAATCTGGCTTCTAAATTTTGAAGTGTTATTTTTATTATATTTTGTCATCATTTGTATTTTTCTTATTGTATTCTAACTGTATTTTATGTGCCATTTTAAACCACCTGGAGAGCTTCAGCTATTGGGCAGGACAGTGATGAAGATAAAGTTCACATTACCTGAACAGCCATTTTCTCCACCACTCTCTTCTTTGACTTCCACACTCGGCAGCTTCTCCCTGGTCTCTGAAGGAGCCCCACCTGCTTCTGAAGGAGTCGCAGGTGCTGCCACCTGAAACAGCCAGGAGAACAACCCTGTCAAGAGAGCTGGAAAAAGGCAGGAGGCCAGGTGGATTAGAAAGGGAGCCGGCTCCAGGAAAGGGCCCCTCTGGCAAACAGCCCCCCTGCCCCCCATTGCTGGGCTTGGCTGGCAGCAGCAGAAGGCGATGAAGGGGCTGCCATCTGGATTGTCCTCAGTGCCCAGAAGAACACTGCCTCAGGGGCATGATGGGAAATTAAAGGGCAACTAGGCCCAAATGCAAGGATGTTTCATTGGAGACCAAAGATCATCCAATGCCAGCCCAACTGGTTGAAGATGTCCAAGAAGGGGAAGCCCAACAGCCCTCTTTGTCAGGCACAGCAGAAGGAAGGTCTCTAGATGTATTGGACACGAACTTCCTGTACTCCTGGCCACTGGCCATGTTTGCGGGGGAGATCTGCCTTCTGCTCAACCCACGACTGGTTCGGATGTCCTACCATTTTTACCAACAAGACTGTTTCTCCTAATGGTCAGCTGAAATCGCCCCCCCTCCCATAACTTCAGCCCATTAGATCCAGTCCTGCCAGTTGGGCAGCAGAGAACCAGCCTTTGCCCTCGTCCAGGCGACAGTCCCTTCAGGGTGCACAATCACACCTCTCACCTCTTCGGCTGCATTCTCGGCCTCTGCTTGCCTCTGCAGGAAGCCCTCGGCCAGGGCCACCGCCTGGGCGCAGCTCTTGGCCTCACGTTCTCTCACCCAGCCTTGCATCTCTGGGGGCAGGACGGCCAGGAACTGCTCCAGGATCACCAGCTCCAGCATCTGCTCCTTGCTGTGCCGCTCGGGCTTCAGCCACCGGTGGCAGAGGAACCAGAGGTGGCTGCAGGCCTCGCGGGGGCCCTTGGCCTCCTCATAGCCGAACATCCGGAATTTCAGCCGCTGGGTTTCTACAGTGATGGTGGTGTTCCCTTCCACAGGCTCACCCTCTGTACCTTGGTAGGCCCCTGCAAGGTCCAAGCACTGACAGGGCTCTTTGGGTTCTTGGCCAAGGTTTGGCTTGAGGCAGGTTCCTTCATGTCCTTCGGGGCAGCAGCTGCTAGAAGCCGTGCCTTCAACAGGGGGCACACAAACCTTTATGTCTTCCCATGGGACAGACTGCAAACACTGTGGGCTGCCCCAGCCCAAACTGGGCAAGCCAGTCCCTGTTGAGAAGACTCGCTCTCCCGTCTCCTCTTTATCCCATTTGCGCCCTATTTGGCTGTACCCGTTTCCTTGAGGCCCCTGTCTGAGCACAGCCCAAACCTGGGGACGTGGCTCACTCTGGTCCATTCTGTCTGTCCTGTGATCCAACAGAAGCCTTAGGGTGTTCCTCCACTACTCTTACATGGTGTCCTCCATTAGCAGTTTCCGTAAAACAGATTTTGAGGGATGGACTGGGCTGTCTCTCAGTGAGAGTTAGGTCCTGAATTTAGCAAAAATTCTGCAGATAATGGATTAAAGTTTCTTCCTGAAGAGAAAATAAAAAGATCTTCAAATTGATACATGTTCCCTACAAAGGGTTAGAAAAAAAAGGGATGATGAACCTCAAGGCAATGGGCTGACTCTAGTCTCCCTGGAGTTTTCAGACAGCAATCAGCTTTCCCCCCATTGACCAAATGTTTTGGTGGTTCTATGGCTTTTGTGCAGTCTCTGCCTACTGCATTAAGAAAGACCAAAATGTCTCTCCTAAGCTCTGAGTTAAATATATTGACATTTTTGCCATTCAGGATTTTTGGGCCAACCTGCTTTTGCCTTTGGCCCTGAGTACCACTGAGAGCTTCCCTGAAATGGAATTCCCCTGAAAATAAATTTTATACCCTTCGGTTCGAGAGTCCACACGTGTGTGTAACACGTTTGGCTAGTGTCCAACTTGCTATCTTGTACACAGCAGATATATGTTTTATTCTTTCAAACTTGCACTAGCATCGCATATGGGTTTGCGTTTGATTTGGCTTTTTGTGGTTTGGGGTGCAATTCTAGGCAGTTTCAGCCAGGGGAAAAAAGGTCTGTCATTCCCAACATTCTCCAGCTGCTAAATTCTGTGGGGCTTCCATCTGAGTTCAGGTGGGATATAAATATAATAATTAAAATACGGTGCTCTCTCTCTATGGGTGTGTGTTCTGTTTCTCCTTTTATCCCGCCCATGTTTTGCATTTAGTATTTGCATTTAAAATACACCCCCCCGCCCCCCTTCCCGCAAACCTGCAGCTCAGCTCACCTCTCCCTCTCTTCGGCATAGTGACACGGCCGGAAAAAGGAAGCGACGGCAAGAGCGGCCTCACTGTGGTCAGGAGCAGCTCTTCTAGGAACTCCGACTCTATCACTTTAACCCTTCCGGGGTTGAGCCTTTCTGCGGAACGTGGACGGGGGAGAGGAAACCAAACGGAGAGCCGTGGAGGAAGCGCCTGTAGGCTCAGCGGGAGGAAACCTGGGGCTTTCCAGCGTTCTGGCCTATAATTCCCATAGGCCACAGCCAGCAGGGATGATAGGAGTTGTAGTTCAAAAGTTTTGGATGGTTAAGGTTAGCCTCCCGCCAGTGGTCAGCCTAGTTTCATATTGTCCAAGCTCCTTAGCTGTGGCCTTCCAGGGTTTCCAGTGGGGGTTTTAACCCCAAACATTATCTTGAGACTCTCATTATTATAATTCTGTTGCATGTATGCCTTGCCTTTCTTCTTGCCAGCAACACAAAGTGGTTGACCTAGCTCTCCTCAGCTCCATTTTATCCTCACAACAACAACCCTGCGGAGTAGGTTAGGCTGAGAGTGTGTGACTAGCCCAGAGTCACCCAGTGGTACTTGAAGATGGCAGAAACTAAACCAGGATCATTTAAAGTCAGGTTGGTGACTGCTGGCCCTCCAGATGTTTTGGCTTACAACTCCCATCACCCCCATCAGATGCTTTCTAGGGCTGAGTTGTAGCCCAAAACTTTGGGAGGAACTCAAGTTGCATGCCTGTCTAAGCCCTTTAAACACAGGGCAACAGAGATGGCCAGAAATTGAGCAGTAACCCATGAAAGGTAGCGTAGATGCCAGGGATCATTAAAAGGATAAAGAAGACACCCACATCTATGCAAAGCTTTGAAGAGATCACACTTGGAAAGATGGACACATTTCTGGCCCTGCATCTCAAAAAGGATATTGGGGATCTGGAAAAGCTGCAGAAGCAGGTAAACCAAAGGAACTCAGGGCTGCAGCTAGCCCTCCGTGAGGAAAACTTCCAACGATCTTCCCTGTTTGGTGCCTGTAGAGGAAAACTGCTGGAAGACTATTGTATACCGAGGAGATAGGTGGTGTAACACAACTGCCCTTCTATTCCTGCCTCATGTGTGAAGACTCAGTCGAGGCCCTCCGGCATGCAAGGGAAGCCGCTTGCTAATTAGGACGGTACAGCATTGGAATGCCGAAAAGTTTACAGTGGAGCCGCCTGGGAACAGCGGATGGGGCTAATTAACTGTTTTGATGTAGTTTTCCACAGCAAGTAACATTCTTAGATTTAGGGTAGGGAGAGAAGCTATTTGTTTTTCGGCGCCAGGCAAAGACCTTTTTATTTAAGCAGCATTTTAAATGTTAATACCATTGAATTTTATTTGGCCAGGGCGGCTTATTTTATTCCAATGTATATATTTTAATTGTTATTGTTTTGTGTATTTTATTATGTTGTGAGCCGCCCCGAGGCTTCGGCAAGGGGCGGCATAGAAATGTTTAAATAAATAAATAAATAAATAAATAATAAGCTGCATGACCCCACCTGAGCGAGTGCCAGGATGAGATCTAGCCGAGCAAGGAATCTGCCTAGTCCCCTTTTAAATCCCCTTTTAAAGTGATCAAACTGGTGTCCATCACCACTTCCCATGGCAGCAAACTCCACAGTTCAACTTTTGGATGTGTGAAGAACTGATTTGCTTTTATCTGTCCTGAACTTCTTATGCATCAGCTTCCTGGGATGACCCCTTTGGGTCTGAGTGTTCTGCAAGAGGAAGAAAAATCTCCGGTGTAGTTTTGAACACCCCGTCAAGTACTCCCTTTCCTCACCGTTATTCTATGCTGAACAGTCCCGATTGTCATGGCTGCTGCACACAGGGGAGCTGCTCCAGCCCCCCAATCATTTCGTTGCCCTTCCCTGCCCTTTCTCCAACTCGGAGCTCGTCACAGGGTCTCCAAGGTGGGGCTGACACAAAACCAACCCACCTTTCAGGATCGGTTACAAGGCAGGCGATGAGAGGCACTTTGAACATTTATACCAGAGGTGAGGAACCTATTTCAGCCCTGGGGGGTACATCCCATTTTGAGGGGGGGGTTCCAGTGTGCTGCGTTCCAGGCAGGAGGGGGCCAAAGGCAAAACGGGGAGGGGGGGCAAAGTCACCAAACCGCCTGCAAATTTTCACTTAAAGCCCTTCTTACCAGTTAACTAAGCTGTCAGAAGAGGCATTTTAATGGTGTAGAATGTGAGAGGAAACTGCAAAAACAAATAATTGGGAGCTAGAAAGAAAGGAGACGGGGCTACAAGAAAGAGTATGGCCATTTGGGCAACCCCGGACAGCCAGATTCAGGCTGGATTTGGCCTCAAACCTGAGATAAAGGCTATTCAAATTTATATAATTTATCTAAAGGTCATTCCAAGGCTTGCAAAGTCTGCATTTTAATTTGGAATGACCTTCTCTGCACAGGTTCTGTCATACATCTCACTCTTGTTCCGAGCATTGTTCTGAGTCTGGTCATAGAATCACGGATTAGTAAAGCTGGAAAGGGCCAGAGGGCCATCGGGTACAACGCTCTGCAGGCCTCCCAGTTAAACCATCTCTCTTGGATGGCTGCCCAGTTGCATCTCGAAAGCCTCTACGTGGGAGTGGTATCCCTACGTCTTCCGCGCCCGGTGGGTCTTCAAGTGGGTGATCAGTGTTGAGCGCAGCCGGAAGCACTTCCCGCACTCGGGGCACTCGTACGGCTTCTCGCCAGTGTGGATCCGCAGGTGCCCGGCCAGGAGGGTGCTGACCCCGAAGGTCTTCCCACACGCCAGACACTGGTACGGCTTCTCCCCGGTGTGCACGGCCTGGTGCCGGATGAGCTGCTGGCTCACGGCGAAGCCCTTCCCACACTCCAGGCACTTGTAGGGCTTCTCGCCCGTGTGGACCCTCCGGTGGGTGATCACCTGCGAGCTGTTGCAGAAGCGCTTGCCGCAGTCGGGGCACTGGTAGGGCTTCTCGCCCGTGTGGGCCCGCTCGTGCCGGATGAGGTCGGAGCTGATGCTGAACCCCTTCCCGCAATACGAGCACTTGAAGGGCTTGAGCCCCGTGTGGATCTTCTGGTGGTTCTTGAGGTGCGAGCGCTGCCGGAAGGCCTGCCCGCACTCTGCACATGGGTAGGGCTTCTCGCCCGAGTGGGTCCGCTCGTGCTCGATCAGCTGTGTGGTCACGGGGAAGCTCTTCCCGCACTCGGCGCACCGGTAGGGCTTCTCACCCGTGTGCGTCCTCTGGTGCACCACCAGGGTCGACCTCGACCGGAAGCTCCTGCCGCAGTGCGAGCACTTGTAGGGCTTCTCGCCCGTGTGCACCCGCTCATGGGCCAGGAGGCCCGTTCTGCGGCTGAAGCTTTTCCCGCACACGCCACAGGTTGTCTCTGGCTTCCCATTGGGAGCTTTCTGTCGCTTTGTGGACCTGGCAGGGGGGTCCGATGCTTCACGACCCTCCTCCGGGCCATTTCCTGGGATCTTCTCTGAGGCTGGAGGATTTGAAGCAGCTTGCTCCTTCCCCTCCCCCTCTAATACAGCCAGGAGGTCCCTTCCTTTCCTCTTCCCTCCTGGCTCGACACTCTTCCGCTGTGGCTCCTCTCTCTCGCTCAGCTGCCTCTCACCTGTGAAGACAGAACGCAGGACCATGGGACAAATTGGTTTGCTGTCCTGGGAAGAAGGTCCCAAGTGTCAGTGAGAGAGAAAATATCCTGACAAAATGTACATTTTTTGGTTTGTTTTTTTGTAAGCTGTCCAAAGACTTTATAGGGATGCGGTGGCACAGTGGGTTAAACCGCTGAGCCACTGGGCTGGTTGATCAAAAGGTCAGCGGTTTGAAACCACAGATGAGGTGAGCTCCCGTACTCTGTCCCAGCTCCTGCCAACCTTGCAGTTCGAAAGCATCCAAATGCAAGTGTATAAAAAGGTACCCCTTTGGTGGACAGGTAAAAGCACTCCACGCACTGCGGTGTTTAGTCATGCCGGCCACGTGACCACGGAGACTGTCTGTGGACAAACGCTGGCTCCCTCGGCCAGGAAATGGAGACGAGCACCGCCCCCTGGAGTCAGGCCTGGCTGGGCGTAACGTCAAGGGGAAACCTTTCCCTTTACAAAGACTTTTTAGTATTAGGACGACCGCCAGCGAGAAGGCCCTTCCTCTATTTGCACCCCCCTCACTTGCAGAAGAACCTCCTGGCCTGATCTTAAAGGACAGGCAGGTTTGTATGAGATCCTGATTTTAGTTCCCACTCACTGTGAAACTCACTGGCAGACTCTGGGTCCGTGAGTGATTCTCAGCCTAACTTACTCTGCAGGGTTGTTGTGAGGATGAAATGGCCAGGAGAAGGACCACATAAGCCTCCCTGGGCTCCTTCTAAGAGGTTAAGCCAAGTCCAAGTTAATTAATTAGTTAAGTGAAATCAGTGATTTCCAGAGGGTGCAGAATCCTTTGGTTTAGTTTGTTTGCCTCTCTTTCCAAACAGGGCATTATTTTGCATCCTGGATAGAAGCTGCCCCAGGCTGCCAGCCCATCCAACTCCAGGGCTGCGAGGAATCCCTCCCTGTGGATTTGGCCCCTCCGTTACCTTCCTGCTGGAACCCTGGGCCAGAATTCTCCCCTTCTGCTTCTGACGGCGTCTGCTCACCCTGGAGGGGTTGGACAGCCCTCTCCGAACGAAGCACCTGCAAAAGAGGAGCGAGGACGTTAATCAAAGGCTGAACTCTGACCCAAGGCACCTGGGTTCAGTTCCATTCAAGGGGCTGGCCAGGGGGTCAAATAGGGGGTCAAATGACCACTGCGGGAATGACAGGTGATAGATGATGATAGAAAAAGGCAACCCCGGACAGCCCAGTGGGACAAATCCCAAAACGGCAGCAAAAGTCATTGCTTCTTTTTCTTAAACACCTTTTAGTGGCAGGTGGCTGGGCAGGCACATGGTTATTCATGATTCATTTCATGCAACTGCTGGCTGCAGCTGCTCATTTTAATTTTGCTTAAAAATACAGCCTTTTCTGCCACAAAATGGCCCTTATTCCCAGGTAAGGCTGAGATGGGTTAGAAATGGTAGTCCATCCCATCGGGAGGGGACCAAACTGGAAGAGGGTGGCTTTAACTGGTCTAAACCATCCTAGCCATTATCTTTCCCCTGGGATTTCTCCAGAATACAAAGGCAGCCTTGCAAAGAAGCCCACAGAAGTGCCGAACTCGCATTTTAATGTTCACTAGCCTGTTTGCATCATGCCAGTAGTTCAGGAAACATCTGGATGGTCTCTGTGGAAACAGAACGCTGGACTAGGCGGGCTTTCGCCTTGATCCAGCTCGGTGCTTCTTCATAGCATGATCTTACCAACAGGGGGCTCTCCAGACATCTTGGACTTCACTGCCCATCAGCCCTGGCTGGCATGGCCAATGGTCAAGAGAGCTGGAAGCTGCAGTCCAAAGCATCTGCAGGGTGCCCGCTTAGGGAAGCCGGACTTCGAAAAAGAAGGGAAATGGCCATTGCCTCAGCTAACAGGGAAGCATTTGCTGTTAGCCTCCGAATTAAGGGGGAGAGAGAAAAGGCCTCCTTCTCGACCAGCCCCGTGCTGTTGTGGGATTCCTGCTTGTCTACAGCAATGGGATGGCAAAAGCGAGTTGGGTTCCCCTTGCCCATCCTTTTGCTGCACGTGAGAGCAGAGAGTCCCTGCTCACTTTCCGACCTTCCACAGCCAGGCAAGGCCAAACCCTGCATCACCTGCTTGCCGCATCGCCCATCCTCCTGCCGCTGCCGCAGGAAGTCCTCGGCCGAGGCCACCGCCTGGGCACAGCTCTCCGGACTCCTCCTCTTGACCCAGCTCTGCATCTCCAAGGGCAGGACGGCCAGGAACTGCTCCAGGATCAGCAGCTCCAGGATCTGCCCCTTGGTGCGCCTTTCCGGCTTCAGCCACTGGTGGCAAAAGTACCACAGCTGACTGCAGACCCCGCGAGGCCCTGCGGCCTCCTGGTAGCGGATCTGCCGGAAGTTCAGTCGCTGTTTCTCTGTAGCAACAGCATCCCTTTCTGTGGGCTCTTCCCTTACGTTTGGGTCCCCTCCTCTGGCATTCAAGCAACTGTTGGCCTGTGAGACTTCAGCACTGTGTCCCAGGACTGAGGGGCTCACCAGATCTCTGCTGGGATACGCCGCTCCTTCTGAGGAAGGCTGGGAAGCTGCCGTGTCCTCCCGTGGGACATGCACCTGCAGGTCAGCCTTCCTGCATCCTGAATGTAGGGCCTGCGGTCTTGCGGGGATCTCCCCTCTGCAGCTTGGTGGATCTTCATTTTCCACCTGGTTCTTGCTGTGGCGGGTTTTACAAGGCCCTCCCAACCTTTCCGGAAGGTCGGAGCCTGCTGATTTCAGATCTGTTTGAGTTGGAACTGCATCCTCCAACACAGATTGGAACCTGAGGCCCAGGGCTGCCGACACTCCCTCCTCAGAAGCCATTGTTACGGTCCCTTCCCTGCAACCCACTGCAAAAATAAGGTGAGGAAAGAAGATGTCTTGTGAATCAGCTCCCGTTTGGTTCACTTCTAGCCTAGTTCAGACCTTCCGTTTCTGATCCCCAGATCTTGCTGTTTCGCCAAGCATCCCAGTTCAGATCAATGAGTTTCCACCCTCCTAAGAGGGTGGAAGAGAAAAATGGTTCAAATACCCCATCAATCCTGCAGACCTCGAATCGCATCCAGAGAAGGGCTTCCGCTTAGCAGCAAGCAACCAAGAAAAGCCTCTGCCTAATAAAAGGAAGACAGAAAGAGAAGGACAGACAAGCATTATGATTAATTCCTTTGCTAGCGGACAGAGCCGGTTTCCCACGGGTTGCAGCAAGAGCAGCCCTGACTTTGAACAAACACAGCTGTTAGGAGTTGCACAAGTCGTGTCCACCTGGTCTGCATGAAAGCTGCTGGCCTGCCATGGTGCACCCCCTACAACCCCTAGGGAGGGTCTGAGCACTCCATTCCTCCCAGGAGAGCTGCCCCACAGCAGTGGGGAGAGGGCAGTCTGGAACGCTTCCCCCTTTGGCCCACTAACCTCAGTCTGAATGGACCTCAACACTGTGTGCGGGTTAGGAAAGCCTGCCCCCAGTGGCTGGAGACGTTACTGCAGGCATCATGTCGCTATTTACATTTATTAACATCAATTAGTGTGTTTCAACAGCCATATAACTCTGAGGTTTACATCCCTTAGCATGCATGCCAGGCTCCAGGTATCTAAGTTTCACGGTTTGGTGTTATGTTGCTGATTGAGGGATGGACAGACAAAAATCAGCTTTTATAACAGGTTTATTTCTGTGTCTACAGCCATACAGCCCTGCAAGCACCAGAGTTCATCTGATCTCGGGAGCTGGGCAGGGTCGGTGCTATGCTTCCATACAGGCTGAAGTGCCTGATCCTACCTAATCATGGAAGCTAAGCAGGGGCAGGCCAGGTTGGACATCTGGATGGGTGACTTCAGTCCTGAATTTGGCAGGGGGCTGGACCCTGCTAGACCCCTTCCAACTGTATGATCTGTGATTCACTGCTTTTCAAGGGTGCGGTGCTCCCGGGGTGGCTTACAGTGAATTATGGAAGCCGCTTTGAGTTCCTCACAAGGAAAAAAGGCTGTTTGAGTCCCAGTCATTGGGAATAGGAGAGAGATAAATATAATAATTATGAGGCAATGTAACATATAATAAATAAACAAATGCACTCTGTACACTTTAAAGGACTAACCTACTTAGTGGATAGTTTTCTCCAGATGGTGGGCAGCCTACCTGGATAATCCGTTTAATCCGTGCAAGGAATCCTACCAACATAAGGGTACGGGGAAGCTATTCTATCCATGGGGATCGGAGTCTGTACGATTTTTTACGTAAAAACAGCAACAGCAACCTTAGAATTAGACCTTGGGAAGCTAAAACGAATCCATAGGCTTCTCTTTAACACCAGTCCATCTCCCTCCTGGTTCTGTCCTACTTCTTTTTTAAAAATTATTATTTTTTATTTTGCTCAGCGACGGCTTCTCCCCCTCCCTCTTTTATATTTCCACCCAACCCTCAAGTTCTCACCTCTGCCATTCTTTGTAGCCATGAAAAAGGGGGGGGGATTTGCAGCGCCCTCTCTCTCTCAGCCTGGAAAGGAAGACGCCAGCATGATTTTCCCACACACCCCCAAAACAAACAAATACCTAAATAATTTGGATCCTTTCTGGAAGGCATCACTCCATCCGCTTAACTCTTTCAAAGCCCCGGCTCTGCATGTGCAAGACAGTTCCGTCCAAACGGGTGGCTTGCAAACGAGCTGGATTGCAGCTTCCCGTAGTCCAGCGTATTTTGCAGGGCGCCAGCTTGGAGGGAGGCTGGTGTAGAACCGATGCAAGCTGTTGTTTGATTGAGTGCATTGGGGGGGGGGGTTGTTCTGCAACCCGGGTCTCTAAGGGTTAAATAGACAGAGCTGCTCAAGTTAGAAAAGTGCGGCTCAGGGAAGGGTGGGAGGGTTGCGAGCTGCTTGTGCCCTCTTGCAATGGAGGTGGAACTACAAAAGGGGGGCGTTTTAAAGGGGTGGCAAGTGCCTCCCGGGGAGGGCATCTGGGCAAGGAGGGGGCTCTCCTCCTCCTCCTCCGGGTCCTTCGGGATGCGATCCTGAGCAGGCACAAGGACCCGCAAGGTGGCCCGGCAGGTGGGGAAGCCGCAGCAGGGCAAGGCGCCTGGAATTTGGCTTTGGTCCCAGATCCATAGGTTTGCATATGGTAGCAGCTCAAGGGGGAAGACGGGCTCCCCCCCCCCGTTTATCCGCACAACGACCCTGTGAGGTTGGAGATGGCACAAGGTCGACCAGGGCGCTTGGCAGGGCTGAACAAGGAGTCAAACGTGGGTCTTCCCACTCCTGACAGGGCACTCTAACATAACCTTCTCCAAGCCTGTGCCACCCACCTGGCTGGGGGGTTATGGGGATCGGAGTGCAGTTGGGGAGCCAAGTTGGGCAAAGGCTGCTCTGACCACTAGGATTCACTACCTGTCCCCCCCCCCCCCCACTCCAGGTCTGCAGAGCTAGCTGCATTTTGAGGCAGAGGAGTAGCTTCAGGAAGAGAAGGTTGGCAACAGGATTATCAGCCAAAGCTTTGGTCCCAGTTTAGAAGGGCATTTGCTGTCTAAACAGGAAGCTGTAACCGTGTGGAATAACTGAAGGGGCAGGAACGAAATAAAGTTATGGGTTGATGAACGAACACCCATGTCTTAATGGGAAAGGTGGCTTTCAGAGAACACTCTGTATTTGCCTTAAAAAAAACTAAGGCATTCTACACATGCTCAGAGGTGCTTTTCTTGTGAAGAAAACTGTATTCAGCTTCAAGATGTTTCCCCGCTGTACTTAAATTACAGGACCCAGACAATTTGGTGGAAAGGGGACATCCTATGAATAAAACTGGGAGGTGCTGGGGCTTGTGGACTTCAAAAAGGGCTCTCTTCTCTTCCCCTTAACTTTAGCAGTGAGGCAGCTCTGTACATGCTCAATGGCACTGGGTTTTTTTAATCAGATGACACTATGCATATTTTAAAAGGAATAACGAGAATGAGAGGGGAAAAAATGCCTGTTCTGCTCAGGCACTCGGCACGCACTCAGAGGTGCTTAGCCTACAGTGGCTTAATTTTTTGACCCAGACACTGTTCTGCAATGCATCCCAAATCTGGTGTTCTGTCAGTGGGGTCAACCACAACTCCCATCTTCCCTAGTCGGCATGGTCCTGGGCTGCACTGTCTGGGAATGATGGCAGTTGTGAGCCAAGACATGTAAAAGGCAACAGGTTAGGGAAGGCTGAAATAAATGTGAGGAGGGTGATATTTTCCCTCTTGCTTGAATTTCTCAGTCATCCTTGCCATCCCTAAAATCTGAACAGCTCCAGGGCAGCTTCTTTCCACCCACCCGTACAAGCAAAGCGGCAGTGCTCACTCTGGAAGCCCTAGAGACTGGCATTTGAAATATTAAGGCTGGTAGCAAAAAAGGGCCATCCGCCCAGGTGGAGATGTGGGTGGAGAAGATAAAGCACTGAGGTGCAAAAGAAGCGATTCGAAGCCCACAAAAAGCCTCCGCTGTAGCTTGCTCTGCACTGCATGTGGAAAGCTAGCAGCTCAGGCAACAGCCTAGCCATCTCCCTTCCTTTCCAGCTGCGGGGAGGCTTTGATTTGGGAAAGCTCCACATGGGCTTTGCATCCACCCACACACTGTCCCCCCATCTGCACTGCCAGAACTGTACCACAGTCCTTCCCTGACTTAATTCTGCAGATGCTCAGAGGCACGCAACCTTAGGTGCCATCATCTCCCCTGCCCGCCATGCGTCCTGCTTACATTGGCTTCAGGAGTCAACGAGTGCTTTCTCCCCTCATTTCTACCCAGCAAGGTGATGTGCATTCTGTCTTTCCATGTACAAGTGCAGAATTCATTTTCCCACAATCACATTTTAAAAAAATTGCTGCCCAGGGGTGGGGAACCCTTTTATGCTGGGGCATACCTGTTGTGGGTGGGCCAGGGGCCCATACCTGATGGGGCTGCAGCCAAAGGTGAGTGGGCCTGGGGGGTAGGAGACCGATTTCCGATATCCCCTTCTCTCTTTCTCCCATCTCCCTTTCTCTCTCCCCCAGATCCCCTCTGAGCAACAACTGGGGAGCTAGCTTGCTGCGTGCAGACAAGTATGCGTGAACTTTTCCACCCCGTTTCCCATAAGCTTCTGTTACTCCCCCAGTCTGAGAAACCTGAGGTGCTCATTGCCAAAGGATAGGACAATCATTATCCCTTTGGGCTGTTCTTAGGCCCTTAAGTTCACCCCACACATCTCCACCCAGTGTAATTAAATTTTGGAGAAAAGCTCCTGCTGGCACGGGCGATCGACTTATGGGGGAATTACCCCAGCGCCCACACACAGGAAAATACGTTGGCACACACGGACCTGTCAGACGTCCAGGCTCAGATCTGAAGCCCAGGGAAGGCCACAGCTCTGCCTGAGGAGTCCTCATCTCGAGAAGACCTCGACTCACCTGACCGCAGGGATGCCTGGCATCTGAGGATGAGGCAGAAGCGCCAAGGCAGGATCAAAGCACTCTTGCTGGCTGGGGCCTCAGGGCTCCCTCGTAGCGAGGCAGGCGGGCCTCCGCCATCTTTCGTTGGCTGGGTCTTGCCATCAACTGCTCGATGTTTGAGTATCGCTGCATTTCTTACGTTTCAAAATGGTTAGTCGTTACAAAGGCATATTATTTTATTTCACTCTGCTCTATTTTTACACGAATTATAAGCTAGTGATAAAAAATAAGGTACAAATAATCAACCAAACTATTGTTGTTACAAAGCACGATATTAAAAGGGCTCAAAAGTTTATTTTTCTACTGAAGATCCTGTTTCATGTGGGCAATGAATGGGGGGCAGGTCCAATGAGGGACCCAGAAGGCTGAATATGGCTGTGGGTTGTGTTTCAGTATTCCTGACATAGATACCCACGAATTTGGGTTCAAACAACAGGATAACCCATATTCATGACTGAGTGTGAGTTGTCTTGAACTGTGTGTTATTTGGGTTGTCTGAACCCATCTGTGTCAAGAAGTCATGGACTGTTATCCATGAACAACCCATGATGAGGATCCACGGTTTGTTGTTGGGTTGTGGACTAGGAATTGTTCACCATAGATTGTTATCTCAGCTAGATGCAAGCAACACATTTGAACCCGTGTTTCAAGAACAACCCACACTCAACCCTTGTCTGAACCCAGTCAGGATAACAAGCTGCCTTCAGAGGTTTGCTCTCTCTGATCAAGTGCTCCAGATTTTTCACCCTCCAATAAAAAGTCCAGTAAATTGACTTTGCAGTGACTCAATCTCAAATGCATCCTGAACAAGTGGGTATTTCCTCTACTTGCCCACACTCAAATATTTCCAAATCTAAGATCCAGGTGCATAGTCATGGTTTAGCTCAGGGCAGCAGGGAAAAATGTATCAGCTGCTAGGAGTTTGAGAGGGACAGGCCAGTGGCTTCTCTCTTGTGTGCTTTCTCACAATGTGTTTGATCACATGTGCTCGCTGACTGAAGCTCTTCCAACAGACAGAGCAATTATACGGCTTCTCTCCCGTGTGCATTCTCTGGTGCACAAGGAGACCGGACGAGTGTCGGAAGCTTTTCCCGCAGTCAGAGCACTGGTGTGGCTTCTGTTCAGTGTGGATCACTACATGAGTCAGGAGACTTGTCTTCTGATTGAAGCTCTTCCCACAGTCCGTGCACTTGAACGGCTTCTCTCCCGTGTGAATTCTCTGGTGTCTATTAACACTTGACTGAGTGGCAAAAATTTTCCCGCACACAGGACAAGGGCTCCGTCTCTTTCCTTTATATAATTTTGGTGGGGCTTTAATTGTGTCAAGGTCTCCACTTGGACCTATAACAAACTTCTCCCCCATTTCATTGTCCAGCCCCCTCTCCAGCTCGTTTTGGTTGCTGGAGACGTCTTCCTTCTTCCCATGTTCCTGTTTTTCCAGGGATGTTTCTGGTGCTTCTTTCCATGGCTTGCTCAGCATGACTCCTCTCACGGCTTTTGCCCTTTGCCTGAAGCTCTTCTTGCAGGCAGAACATTTATACACTTTCTCTCCGGTGTGGTCCATCTGGTAAGCAGTAATACCCCATTTCGGTTTGAAGGTTTCCCCACAGTCTGCACACTGATACAGCTTCTCTTCCGAGTGGATAACCTCATGGGCAATGAGATTGGTTTTCCGGTTAAAGCTTTTCCCACAATTGGAACATTTGTAGGGTTTCTCTCCTGTGTGAATAATCAGGTGCCTGTTGAGGCTTGATTTGCGAGTAAAACCTTTACTGCAAACGGGGCACACGCTCCTCCCTACCCCCTTGGGTGGTCTCCAGGTACATGAAATCCTGCAAAGGTCTCCTCCACTCAGGGATTTCCTCTTCCACGACTGTGGTCCACTTTCAAACCATTTCTCTGGTCCTTCTGGAATGCCGAAGATTCCACCATGTGCTTCAGGCAGCCCCTGTGGGTCTTCATCGTGTTCATTCGAGACCTGGTGACCTATGAGAATAGAGAAGAAGTCTGTTAAAAGCAGTGCTGTAGCGGTCCATTTACATCCCGACTTTATTTCTCCAAATTATGGGGTTGCGCTCCTCTTCACTGTATCCTCACAACAACCCTGTAAGGTAGGTTATGTTGAGAGTCCATGATGGGCACAAGGTCACCCAGTGAGTTTCATGGCGGAGTAAGCACTAGAGCCTGTCTCCCAAGGCCTAGCCTAGTGGAGTAACCACCACACGGTACTGGCTGATATTTAGCCCCATGTACTTTTTCTTCCATTTCATCCCCCCCTACCCCAGAACTTCTCCGACATATAATCTGGCCCTTGGACTGAAGAATCTTCAGCTCCTCTCAGATAAACCAAGGAGAGCACAGTCCAAAAGCTAGAAACAGATGGTGTAAGTGAGAGACATTTATTTATTTTTAAATTTGTATGCCACCCTCTAATCCAAATGGACTCTAGGTGGATTACAGTAAAAGACTAAAAACACAACAATAAAACCAGTTATATATAAAATCACAATAAAAAGTTAATTAAAAAAACCATAATTACACCAAGTAAGCAGAATAACAGATGTCAGAACCAATTACAAATTTCAGATCAGTTCTTGAAAGTATTGAGAGAAAAGAACTGTCTTCACCTGGTGCCGAAATGAAAACAAGGTTGGTACCGGGTGGATTTCTTTGGGGAGTCTATTCCATAATTGAGGAGGTTGTTAGCAGGAATTGCAACCATAATTCGTGGTGGAATTGCAACATGACTGCAGGGATCAGTCACACTGATACAGGATAAGGCCTGTGCTTGATGAAGACCATTTGCCACTGGAGCACCTGGGCTTGGCTGTCCACAGTTGCAAAGACTGGAATTTTGTTCCAGTCCTGCAAAGAAGTTCTTCTTCTTCTCTTCTTTGGTGGATGTGGATACTTGGGGGACTGAGAGGAACCACTCCAGCATCTGGGATACCCACACATCATAAACCATGACAGATACCCATAGATGGTGATACCCACGTATCATAAACCATGATACCCACGTATCATAAACCATGGCTCTAAGGATGTTTGGGTGGAATCGATGAAAAAGTGAAGGCGCTCCTTACCTGGGAAGATGACATCTCTGGTGCTCTCCTGCTTGATCTCCCCAAGAATCTGAGGAGATAATTCCACAGCCAAGTCATTAAATGTTCCCAGCACCTAAAACAGCCAAAGGGGAGCTGCTAAGATAATGCCCATCAGCAAGTAAAGATTCTGACCAAGGACCCTTGGAGACTACAGTGGCCCTAGACTGCCTATGCTCTTGAGCAGGGGCCTTTGTCAGCCCGGCCTAGACTAGGGCTAGAGTAATGGTTGGAAGTTGCAGGGATGTAGATTTGGGCCAGGGCTGTTTGCACGACAGGAGAACCCACTGTGGGTTATTTTACACCTGCGAAGGCTGCAGGGTATGTGCCCCTGCCGTTTTGAACATGTAACCCCTGCATGGGGGTTGTCATCATTATCATACGACACATAATTGTTACAATGCATAACAACAACCCTTCTACCCCACCTTTCTTCTTCCTGCAAGGAACTACAGGCAGCTTACAAGGCTCTCTTCCTCTCCATTTAACCCTGACCGTTTTCCAGGGGGTTGCGCTAAATTATGCAGAGCCCCCAGTTCATGGACTGAATTCTGGCCTGCAGGGCCTCCTTGGGATCCTCCAGGGGGCGCAGCTTCACTCCTGGAGGCCCTCCAAGACCTCTTCCAACTCCATGATTCCCCAGTGTCAACCCAGCTGCATGGCCATTTCCCAGTGGATCAGAGTATTTGGATCAGAGAGGTTTGCCTGGTGCCGACATTATATTCTTTTTGGCATCAGGTGAAAACCTTTTTATTTTCCCATCATTTTGATGTTTCATTGATTTTAACTGGGGTTTTAGTATTTCAATTGTCGGATGCTGTGGTGTTTTGTTTTATTCTCATTTTTATTGTAAGCTGTCCCTTAGATGCTAGTGGTAGACGGGATAGAGAAGCTTTTAATAAATAAACCAATACATATTTGTCAGCCCAGTGCATTATTACCTGCTCTGGCTTGCAGCAGCATTCCCGGGTTCCCAGCAGTCTTTCCCATCACCACCTGCCCGAGATCCCCTTTTTTAATCTGGGACTTTCCGTATGCAAAGCGTGAACTCTGCTGTTGGGTGAAGCGCCCCTCGTACTCTGCAGGATGAAATATTCTCACCTGCCCGTTGCAGCTCCCCGACTCTCGCTGTCTGAGCAGGAAATCCTCAGCCAGGGCCACCGCCAGGGAGCAGGACTCCGTTCGGTGCCCCCTGACCCATCTTTGGATCTCTGCTGGAAGGATGGCCAGGAACTGCTCCAGGGCCACCAGCTCCACGATCTGCTCCTTGGTGCGCCTCTCGGGCTTCAGCCACTGGTGGCAGAGTTCCCGCAGTTGGCTGCAGGCCTCCCGGGGCCCCTCAGCCTCCTGGTAGCAGAACCCCCTGAACCGCCGGCGCTGGATTTCTGCCTCCGTGCTCCCATTGCTGAGAACGGCCTCCCTCGCCTTTCGATCTCCCGCTTTCGGAGTCCTGGAAGCTGCCAGAGCTTCCTCTCTGAAGAGCCTCGAGGCTCCCTCCAGGCCAGGCCCCTGGGGCACAGCAGAGGGAACGGGGGAAGTCTTGGCCTCCGCAGGCGGCTTGTTTCCCCACACCGAGCATGAGGACTCCGCCACTTTTAGGAAGTCCTGCCACTGGGCCTCCCAGAGCTGAAGCTGCCCTTCCTCCGGCTCCAGCTTAACCCCGCGTAGCCTGGCCTGCTGCAGGCACTCTCTTGCCACCCCATTCGGGGTCATACGGAGGTCTTCAGAGTCTTCAAGGAAGCCTTCGCACTGCAGGCCTGTGGTCACCTCTTTTTTCGTTCTCATGCTCGGATGGTTATCCTCGGTTGTCCAACTTCCTGGTGGCTAGGCAGCAAGATGAGGGACGGTTATTCCTACGACTGATTTCATTTCAGAACAATGCACGAAACACAGAGACAATACAAGAGCCGGTGCAGTGTGGTGGTCAAGGGTTCAGGACTGGGGATCTGGGAACTCCAGGCTCCAGTCTCCATTCAGCTATGGAGATGACTGGGTGACTTTGGGCCGGGCACAGATGCTCAGCCCGACCTACCTCACAGGCTCGTGGTTGTGAGGATAAAATTGAAAGAAGGAGAATTATGTAATCCACCTTGAGTTCCTTGGGAGGAAAAAAAGGCGGGATATAAATGTAATAATACATACTAAAATTCCAGCATACAAAATGCCGAATTTGAAAGAACTGGATCAGCAAAGAGGCTGTCATAAATGCTTCTACTCCCCTGAATATGCCATTAAAGGCCGCTGAATGCTTTGGAGAAGAGTGTGGTCTTCACCTGGTGCCAAGAGAACAACAGCGTGGGTGCCAGCCCCACCTCAATGGGGAGATCATGCCATAAATGGGGGGCCACTGCCAAGCTCTGCCCCTCCGTGGAGACACCTGGGGGAAGACCTTGGATGTTGATCCTACTGTCCTTCTAGACTCAAGTCAAGAGAGACTCTGCACCAAGTATTGTGGTGCTAAGTTGTTTAAGTTGTGTAGGTTACCAAGATGTAGGATTCAGCAGCACCTGGAGTCAGAGGCTTTCAGGCAGCCGGTGCCGGTGATCCACATTCGGTGTTCTGGGCTCAGGCTTTCTGGTCCCGGCCATCAGTAGCTGCAGCACCTGAACGGTCTCCAAGGACAGCCCCACGTAATCTAGCCTGGATCTTACCAGAGAATAATTACTTAAATCAGGCAATCCCTGGCCAGGAAGCGGAGTAACTGGGCTGCTGTTGGGAGCTAGGTTCTCTCCTTCACACTTTCAAACCACAGACCACTCTCCGGCAAAAGCTATTTATTCCCCAGTGTGCATACAGGAAGCACAAAGAATGAGTCTCTGAGCATGCACAGAACGGCTTGTAGAACCCAGTCGAGCAACCACTTCCAAGGACCCTCCTTTTGAGTAACCCTGCCACCCCCCCCCCGGGAGGGCCCTTTGGAGGTGGGCCAGCCTCTCAGCTGCACGCTGTCCAGCTTGTGGCTAGTAGCCCTTCTCTCCCAAAACTACATCACAGGGTGGGGGTGAGGGATCGTGCCAGGCTTGTCTGGCTGCTGGGCTACTGTCCCACACCCCCTCCCGGCAGTTCCAGAGGCTGGCTGTTCTCAGGGTCAGCCTGAATATCTGGAGCCTTGAGATAAACCCTCCCCGCTCTTCCTTCTTGATACTGGGAGGCCCAGAGCTCATCCTCCCCCTCTGACGAGTCCGAATCTCCCTGACCTTGAAATTTGTGCCAAGCAAAATGGCCTCTTTCATTCCCAACACCTACCAGCAGAAGCTGATAAAAGGCACTCCAACGCTACCATCCCAAAGATGGCTCCAGGAGGACACTGCCCCAGCTACAACCCCGCTCCTTCAAGGGGATGCAGTGTGAAAGATGACATGCTACACTCTGGGGCAATACACACCACCCTGCATACTCACACACACAAAGGCATGGGTGCACAATTCTCACATATACGCTAGTGAGTGCATGTCACTGGTTTAGCCACATTTGGCATTTCACTTCCGGTTTTGGTTGTTCCAGACACATACCAGAAGGGCCGAAGCACTGGAGCATCCCTTCCCCAACCTGGTTTCTTTGGAGGTTTTGGACTGTGAAATTCTGGGAGTTGCATCTGAAGGGTATCTGGCTGGGGAAGGCTAATTCAGGCCTTTTGACTTTAGAAAAGATCCCAACTCAGGGGAGAAGAAGGAATTCTCACCCTCTCATGCCGTAAGAATTTTGGGTAGTTGCATAAAATTTATTGGCAACAAAAGAAAACACTTACATGATCCACAATTCATCTTTCAGCAGCCAGTTGCTTAAGTAAACTTACATGACCCATGATTCACTTAGGGAACCCCCTGTTGAAAGACGCCGGGATAGTAAGATGCTTAGAAGATTTTAAAAGAGGAAATCCACACATTAATGAAAAATGAAACAACGGAATGCTACTGATCTGGTGGACGATGGAAGTTTGGGATAAGGCTGCTGAGGCAGGAGGCATTGCTCAGCCTGGATCTGTGGGGCTGCAACCTCCAATCTCTTTCCCAGGAGCCTGGATCTATTCCAGAGCCTTGAACATCCACTGGCACGAAACGAAGGGTTTTTATGCCACGTGTTCCCATTTTCAAGGAAACCTTCAGCCAGGGAGTGAAGCTGTAACACTTCTTACACACTGCAACAAAAACATTTATGGATTCCTTTCTTCTGTGGCAATTAAATTTGAGGGGAGGGAAATCCTTGTAGCGTTGGCTTCAGATGATCTGGGCCAAGGTATAAACCGATCAAAGTAATCTCAAATACAATGAATTCTACAATGATAAATTAATTAGCTGACTTTTCCTGTTATCATTATATTTTATTAATACATTATAAAAGACATTATATAACTATTAATATAATTTATTTGTTTTATTTATGAAATGTGTATGCCGTCCAGTTACCAGCGTCTCTGGATGGCTAACAGCATAATACAATGTATGTTGTATTATATTTTATAATATAGATTATATTTACATTGATATTATATTACATTTATATTAAATGTATTGTGTTAAATTTATTAAATATTATACATTTGTACTGCACTTTCTTCATTTTGCAAGTGGTTCAGGGGTGCTTTCCATTCTATTGTTACAACAACAACCCTGTGAGGTAGGTTAGGCTGAGCATATGCAACCAACCCAAAGTCACCCAGTGAACTTCATGGCTGAGTGGGGACTAGAACTTGGCTCTCCAAGGTCAGTGGTCAGTCCAACAGTCTGACTCCTATGCCACACTGGATCTACTCTGGAATTTAAATACATCTTAGTCATTATCTTTTTAACAGGCATGTAGAGGTATAAATTAGCATTGCAAATTTTATACAGATTTCTAACTGCTGAACCTGGGTCTCCTGAGAGAGAGAGAGAGAGAGAGAGAGAGAGAGAGAGAGAGAGAGAGATCTATTTTGTTTTGCAAAAAAAAAAAAGACATGGAGTGCAATCTTATACATATTTAGGCAGGAAAAAAGACCTAGAACTCCTAGCATCCCCCAGCCAGCTGGCTCGGGGATGCTGGGAGTTGTAGGACTTGCTTCTTGTCTGAACTTCCATAGGGTTGTACCCTAAAGGCAGCTTAAATCTTTCCTTCTGCTCCATGAATCAAGAATCCCCCATGTCTGGCTCTGAAACCTTTCCCTGCCCCTCCGCAGGCCATCCCCCCAAGATCCTTTCTCCTTTTCCTCTTCTCTTTTCCTAGAACCTCCATTGTCCCCAAAAGCTAAATAACAGGCCTTTAAAACTCACTGCTTCGAGACAGACCAGCCGCAATCCACCCTGCGCTGACAAATTCAAACTCCAGCTTTCGAAGAAGGGGAGGAGCCGGCAGACAGTGCGCCCAGCACATACATGTGCACCCTCACTCGCACATGCAGACCCAATTCCCACGCCTGTCTAGGAATCGGTGCTCCACAGGTTTAACCCTTAGCCACCCAGTCCATCACTCTGTGCTCCACCATGGCCGCCTCCCTGTGTTCCAGACCTGTGAGACCGCGGCTCCCATCATCCCCAGTCACTGGGCAGGCTGGCTGGGACTGATGGGCATTCTGGTCATGCCACATCTGCACGGTGGCAGGTTGTGGGAGTAGATGGGAAGGCTGCTCTACCATTTTGCAGCTGACTTTGTCACCGCTCCGTGCCCCGTCCTTCTTTTGCGTGCTTTCACAGCCTTGAACGGGGCCAGCCCCATCGTTACGCAGAGAGAGGGAACTGCCCCTGGTAGCAGAGGGTGGTGAGGGCCCTTGTCTGCCCCTCCAGGTTTAGGGCTCTCAATGCATCCCTTTCCCTAAGCGCAGCCACCTTCTCATCACCATAATGTCAAGCCTTGGCTCATTTCTCACCTTCTTGAAAATGAAGGCAGATCTCAGTTTATTGGCCAGTAGGCCAAAAGCCTGACTCGGGTTGGTAAAAGTAATAACAGGTTGATGATACATTCTGCCCTGTATCCTGTTTCCGACCAGGGTCAGTCAAATTCTATCAGCACCCCAAAGCAGACAAAGAAGAAATGAAGGTGATGTTTTTCTCCCATTCTCTCTCTCTCTCTCTCTCTCTCTCTCTCTCTCTCTCTGTGTGTGTGTGTGTGTGTGTGTGTGTTTTCACAGCCATTCATTTTTCAACCTAACTGAAATTGGTTTAGCAAAATGGATAAACTACCCCGGAAAATGCAGGTTAAAACAATAATAAAACAAATTTGTGAAACATAAAACCTCCCAACATTAACAGAATAGAAACCACATCTAACCAAAGGACCAGCTTACAGCCCAAAAGCCTGCTTGAACAAAAAGGTCTTTGTCCGCCAGGCAAAGGACAACAAAAAGAAGGCAAAGCTAGGGTGTTGCACAACCGGGGAGCAGTCACAGAGAAGGCCCTGTTTTGCGTCGCCACCAAATGCACCTTAGAAAGTGAACAGTCATCAGACAAGACCTCTCCTGAAGATCTTAAGACCTGGACAGGCTTGTATGGGAGACTGTAGTACTTCAGATATCCTGGTCCCCAGCCATAGAAGGGCTTTATAGGTCATTACCAATTCTTTGAATTCTGTCCTGAAAGAAATCAGTAGCTCTAACTGGTCAATAGTCTGGCCATGGCATTTCTGGACCAGCTGAAGTTTCTGATGTTTCTGGAGACAGCCCCATATACAGGTTAAGATTTTTCCTTGTTTCTCCCACTGTGTTAACTCGCCATCACAAAACTAGAAAATTTGTGGAAGTTTTGGTGACTGACTGTATATTCTTATCTTGCATACCTTTGGGTTCTGCAGAAAAACACGTCACAAGCTGTTTCTTCAGTGTCCTGGCTTTTTAGAATCAACCTATTAAAAAAAAAAAGTTGTACCTATGTTTGAATTCCCGCTGTCCATTGTATCCTCACAACAGCCATTTGAGGTAGGTTAGACTGAGAAAGGGTGACTGCCCCAGATCAATTTCTCCCCGTCTCTTTCATCCTCACAACAGCCCAAGAGAGGTCAGGCCAAGAGAGGGGTGACTGATCCAGGTCCAATAATTGCCCCATCCATTTAATCTGCAGAACAACCCCGTGTAGCAGGCAAGGCTGAGAAAAGCCGCCTGGCCCAGGTCCAATGGTTCCCCAGCCCATTTTACGCCACAACAGCCTGTAAGGTAGGGCAGGCTGAGGAAGGGTGACTGCCCCAGATCAGTTTCTCCCCCGCCTACTGAATCCGCACAACAGCCCTGTGAGGTGGCTTAGGACTGACCGAACGTCCCCCAGCAGGGATTTATGGCTACTTGAACGTGGCTGACCGCTTGGCCACTCCACCTGTTGAACCAATGCCTGTCTCCTCGCCAGCTGCGTGGCGCCCGCAAGAGGAGCCCCGGCAGGTGTCTCCTCCGCGCCCCGCATCGCGCGCCGCGGGTTTGGGGGCCACATAACGCGCGCAGCGGCGGCCCGCCCCTCAGAGCCGCGAAGCATCGCCCCCCCCGGCCGGCCGAGCAAGGGTTAAAAGCAGCGAGCGGCGCCTCCTAGAGGGGCGTGGGAATTTGTGGGGGGGGGTGTGCCAGGGAAGGAAATCGCTTCCGCTTCCTCCTCTGACAGCGACACCAGCAGCAGCCGCACTTTGAGAATTCCCAGCGGAGGGCGCTGGGATGGTGGCAGCACTTTTGGGGAGGCGGCGGGGGGGGCACAAAAAGTGAGTTCCAAAAGGGGGGGCATTTGGGCAGAGCGCGCAGGAAGGGGTGGTCTGCAGCATGTGCCGGGAGGGTAAGAAATGCAGAGGAGGAGGAGGAGGAGGAGGAGGAGGAGGGGTGAGGAAGGCACTTCCCCAATAGAGGAGATCCGCTGGCTTACAGTGGGGGCTCGAGTCAGGGCCGCTGTCACGTGGGACCCATCAGGGGCCTGGACCCCCAGGTAAGTCTGAGGAAGGGGGCAGTCTCGGTGAGGTCCCTTCCTTGGACTCGGAGGCAGGCTTCCTGAACCTGGCACCGCTCCAGCTGTGTTGGACTACAGCACAGCTGGAGGGGCAGTGGGTTCAGGAAGTCTGCCCTGGGGTGCTGCCCTTGGTAAAGCTGGGTGCTGATTGGGACCTGCAGTTGGAGTGCCTACCAGCTGCTCTTTCTCAGCTTGTGGAAGTTTGGGATTTCGGACCCCCGTTGACTGGAATTGGCTCCCCTTGGGTCCAGCCCTATCCGGAGAAGCCGAGGATGGACCCTGGACCCTGGACCCTGTGCATGAAGTATTGCTCTGTAGCTGTAGCTCTCTCCCAAAGGTCTCGGTACCTAGGATGCTGCTTACTCCCAAGTCAGACCACTGGGCGGTCTAAGTCAGAATCATTTCAGTTTATGTACAAGTGTATATTGTACCTGATCTTTGAGAGAACCAAACAGGAAAGTTGGTTCCGTGTTCTGTTATAGGTGCTTGTTGGGTAGCATTTGCCAGGCCTATCTCATCTGCAAGTGGGTAAAGATGGGGGATTTGTGAGGTGTGGTTTTTTTCTTTTTAAACCCTAAACTTGGTGTTTGTGCCTCTGTTTTTCCCTGAAAGACACATCTCAAATCGAGAAGGATGCTCCTAGCTCTTGTGTAGCCAAAGGCTGTAAATTCCATCCACATTCAGTTGACCTCTTCACACCACACAGGGCTTGGTGGTCGGACATTTTTTGCATGTATGCAGAAGAGGCAGAAACTGGAATCAGAAGGGAAGCTGGTGGAACAGAGACGGCAACAAAATGGCCACTGAGAGAGAGGCAGCGGCTTCTTCGGGTTGCGTTCTTTATGAGGCTGTGGTAGATAAGGGAGTGAAAACAGAAGAGCTGGATCCTGCAGGCCTTGTGACATTTGATGGTCCAAAGCGATCCAGAAAGGCCTCTCACAACACCCAGGCTGGAAGTATTGGAGAATGCCTTAGCTGGGCAGCAGCAAAACAAGCAGAACGTGACCTGGATGATGGGTTATTATCCCACTGCTGGGAATCCCAGTGGCAGGAATTCCTGAGGACAGTGCAGTCTCCTTCTTCAGGGTGGAGCAACTCACAGCTCTCAGGGCCCCCTCTTTTGGGTCCCTCTGTTACATCAGCTAGTGTTTACCAGGGACCCCCCACCATGCAAGAGGTGGCTAGCGGGCTCATGCCTGGACCAAGGGAGGGATCTGCCAAGGACAATTCAGACACTGAGCCTGTAGAGGAATTGGATGATGGAGACGTCAAGGGAGAGGCCGTGCCGGAGGAAGCCCTCAGTGCTGAGATGCACCGTCAGCGCTTCCGGTGGTTCTGCTACCAAGAGGCTGATGGGCCCCGGGAGGTTTGCGCCCAGCTCCGGGAAATCTGCCTCAAGTGGCTGCAGCCTGAGAGGAACCCCAAGGAGCATATGGTGGAGCTGATTGTCCTGGAGCAGTTCCTGGCCATCTTGCCAGAAGAGATCCAGGGCTGGGTTGGGGAAGGCGGGCCAGAGACCTGTGCCCAGGCAGTGGCCCTGGTGGAAGAGTTCCTGCTCAGGCAGCAGGAGGCCGAGAGATGGAAGCAAGAGGTGAGGGTGTTTCTCCAACTTGTGATGGTGTAGAACTACTTTCAGCCTGAGGGCCAGAACTATGTTCTGGAGAAGTCCTTGGGGTGGTGGGTGTGGCCAAAGGCAAAAATGGCCGAGCCAAGAAGACCAGCATATTGGCATCAAAGCATATCACTGCCTTTACTGCCTGGTACTCATTCTTAGGAGAGTTCTGTGCAAAAGCTGAACTAAGAGAGTTCATAGTTCTGTGCAGAAGCTGGGAAACTACTGCACAGTTGGTGGTCAGAGCAGGGGAAGGAGGTGGGGCTGTGGGAATGGGCGGAGCCTCCTGGGGCTGCTGGAATGCCTGGTGTGGCCCATGGACCTGAAGCTCTGCCCCCCCCCCCCATTGTGGCTTAGAGTCCAATGGTGGGGCTGAGCCTTTTGGCCCTTCTTTTGCTTGCAGCCTGCTCTAACCCTGCATCCTCCAAACGTTTGGGACTGCAATTTCCAGTATATCTGACCACTGGGGATACTGGCTGGGGCAGTGGGAGCCTCTGGTTCCCAGAGTCTAGTGCCTCTGGCAGGCACTCAGGTTGGGAAGGCTTTTTACTGCAAAGCAGCTAGGGCAAAATTCTGCTCCTAGAGGCACTAGCCAGTCAGGGTAGGAAATATTTTGGGAATGTGTGTACTTCTTGCTTAGAGTGGGTCATTAAAATATAATGGGACTTAGGTTAAGTTCTAAGTGACCCCTGTCTATTTCAAGACATGCAGTCCAAGCAGAACTAACACTGGATTCATTCTTTAATTCTTCTTCCTTTTTGCCTCAATGCAGTGCTTCACGGTGGCCAAAAATAAAATCTGTATGAGAAATAAAGTCTGAATTAAAACATTATTATAAACAAAGACATTAAAAACATAGTTAAAAACATGACAAGGAAAGAAGCACCACCACCAGATGAGTTGCTAATTATACAGGCAGAATCTGCAACAAGATGTTGCGGCATGATGTTCCTCTTCTGGGTCCTGGTTGTCCAGGTCCTCCTCTTCCAGGACACTCAGTGACATGCCGTGTCTGGCTGGCTAGTCATTTTCATTCCTCATTACAGTCAGTTCAGATTCTGCTGCCAGTAAGCAGAATCAGACCTTGGAGGGCTAGTCTGGTGTTACTTCCTTATAGGTGCTATTTTTGTTATACTTCTGCAAACTTTGAGGTTCCTCTGTGCCTCTTGGTAATTCATTTTGTGTGGGGTTGGTTACATAAAGATCCACCCTCAGAGAATTGCAATAACTGCAGGTACACACATGATTTTTATTCAGGGAGGTCAGGGCAGCATCTGCCGTTCTTCCCACCCTGACCCTTACCATATTATTCTCACAACAACCCTTTGAGGCGGGCCAGGGTGAGAACTGGCCACTGCCCCAGCTGGGCTAGTTGAGTTCAACAATCTAATCAAGGACCAGGTTTGTCCAGATATTTTGGATGACAACTCCTGACCCCTTGGCATGCTGACTGGGTTTCTGGGAACTAGTGTGGAACATCTGGATGGCCTGGGGTTGTCTACCCTTGCTCTCACCAGGGCACCACCCTGGCTCCCAACTAGCCAAGGCAAGACTGGAGCTACTGTTGTCCATGAATATTTTGGGGGGATCTCGGGGTTCTGTAAGCAAGATGGGACGGGCAGGTTGGTTTGCCCCAGGCCTGCTTAGCTCCCACAGGGTGGATGCCTCTTGAGCTGTCAGACCATGCTCAGGCTGGCGATCTCTCAGAATAATCAGTGCATATCAGGACATTTCAGAATTGTACAGCTTCTGCTTGTATAATTAGCACCTCAGCTTTGATGTTGTTCAGCGAGCGCGGCATTAAGGAGCTTGCAAATCTAAGTAGGCAGACCCAATGCAGAGATGTTTTTAACTCTGAAACACAGGTATTTGCAAATTTATTTATTTATTTTAAGCTTTTGTATGCCATCCCCACGTGCCTCGGCATCTCAGGACGGCTTACAACATAGAATCAAAACAATAAAACAGTATCAGAGAAAATACGCTGCACAAGGCACAGTAGAAACAGCTGCCACCACACCTCATTCTGGTATAGGATACACATAAGCCTCTGCATTGGGAGGCATACGTGCACTGAGGATGTGGGCCATAGGACCACACCTTTTATTCATTTATAAACCTTTTATTCATTTCATTTCCCAACTAGCCAATAGGTGAAGCTCTTCGGACAGTTCGCAACCATTAAAACCATATAATACAGCATAAGATACCATCTAAAAGTTTGAAATGATGGTATAGCATCCAAATCAAAATAAAACTCGGCAGCAACGCAAACATTTAAACTATAGTAGCATTTTAAAACAATTGAACCTGAAAGATGCTGAAAAAATAAGATCTTCACCTGGCATTGGAAAAAACACAATGTAACCACTAGTTGAGCCTCACTGGGATGCTCACAAATGTGGCATTACTTTTATCATAACAGGGAGGGTCACCAGCACAGCTCCCAGACCACCGTCGCTGTCCTTTGCAGCTGAGTTCTGCTATTCCTCAGACGGTCCCTTTATGCTTTATTTCATGTCTGTCCATCTTTTTTTCCCTCCAGGACTTCATTCTTGTCCTCCTTTTTTATCTGACTTGAAAGATGTGAGCCAGCTGGTCCAGGGCTCGCGAGAGAAAATCTCTGGGACAAAGCTGTTGCCCTGAGCCCAGCTACACACGTGTGGTTTAGTGCTTTAGCACTTCCCCAGTTCACAGCCCCCAAGACAAACCTCCAGCCTGTAGGTCTGATTCAGATTGCGCCGGGGACCAGTCTGGGCTGAGCAGCATCTAATGGGCTGAGGCCTCTCCCCTCTTAAAAATACAGCACAAAGAGGGATCCCCACTTTATCACCACTCTCAGGTAGGGGTCCCCTCGCACCAGTTCCCACACTGCATGGGAAAGAGGCTGCGCCCCTTTTTCCACGCAGAGGGACAGCTCCGTGCTTCTCTCTGCTTGGAGAGGAATCCTTTTTTAAGAAAGTGGGCAGGGCAGAATGGGTGACCCTGGAGGGAAATGGCTCCGGGAGGAGACCCCAGCCCTTATTCCCTCCGGCCACCAGCTTGGCCTGGGGGTTAATCTGGCCCCTGGAACGAAAGTGACAGCCCTCCCCTGCCAGGCCTTGGCGCTTGGTGAAAATGCCCCCTAGGAGGGTGCGACTTCACGCCGCCACCAGCGCACAAGAGGCATCGGCTTTGTTCTCCATCTTCAGCACAGGGGACCTGTCCTTCGCCACGCCTCCCGTGGCCTCCATTTTGCGGCTGGTGCTCAGGACAAGGTCCCCAATTGCCCAGCATGCAATGGTCCCCCCGGCGTTGGCCTGCCGCTAGGCAGAGCATCCCAGGAGAGGGCACGGCTAGTGTCGGCCACAGCCCCCAGCAGGAGTGTGGCGCAAGGCAGCATTTTGCTACCGGCCTGGTGTCTTGCTTTTCGCCTTCCAGGTGCTGGGAGAATTTGAGGAGGTGGCCATGAGCTTCTCAAGAGAAGATGATGATGGAGAAAGACATCCTTCCAGGGAGATCAAGCAGGAGGGTGCCACTTTGCTGGGTAAGAAGGCCTCCCCCTACCTTGTGTACTTGGGTGCAGCGATTTTGCAGTGACGAGCCCCTGTTGTGTAGAAGGGCCATCTTCAGGCTTCCAGGTGCCCGTTTTGTTTTTTATTAGAACCTGAGAACCTGCCACAGCCGAGTGCCGAACTGGTTCATGGGCGCATGCATTCACCTCACTTTAAGGGGAAGGGTACCTCTGAGCACATTCCCAGTAAGGGAGCTATTTTGGGCTAGTACATCAAGGTGGGTGGAAAGAAGACGGCTGCAGAGGGGAGAGCCCAAGATATTGATACACAGTGTGGTGATTAGAGCGTTGGACTGGGACTCAGGAGCTCTGGGTTCTGGTCCCCGCTCAGCCATGGAGCCAGCTGGGTGGCTTTGGGCCAGGCACAGAAACTTAGCCCAGCCTACCTCACAGGGTTGTTATTGTGAGGATAAGAGTGAGAGGAGGTGGATAACTATGTAAATCTCCTTGAATTCCTTGGGAGGAAGAAGGTGGGGTATAATAATCTGAAGCTATATATAATAAATTATATATATATGTATAGTTAAGTAATAAAAGTTTCAGATTGTTGAGCTGTGTTTTTTATACATGGAATTGAACAGAGTAAGGCCATCAGGTCCAACATCTTTCAACTCACTGGATGGCTTTGGACCATTTATAGACTCTCAGCCCAACCGACATTACAGGGTTATTGTGAGGGTAAAATGGAGAGGAGGTAGACCATCTCAGCTGCCTTGAGCTCCTTGGAAGAATATAATTATATGAACATGCATGTAACAAATATTTATTTAGCATATGGCATATATTGCCAGAGAGTCACAGAAACAGAGTGAGTCAAAGGGCACTCTTGGACCATCTAGTCTGACCCCCGGCTCCAGCCAGCTCCACTCATGACATGCCTACCATGTGCATGTCCAGCCTATCCTTGAACACCCTCATGTTTTACACACAGTAGATGTTCTGGTGCCCGCAGTTGCTTGTCCAGTGCACCATGAGGGGCGAACTAGCTTAGCGCTGTTCTCGTAGCTTAGCTTAACCAGCGATGTTCCTGTTGAAGTCTGTTACATAGAAACATAGAAACAGAGTGAGTCAGAAGGGGTCTCCCGGGCCATCTAGTCTGACCTCCGCCACCAGCCGGCTCCGCTCACGACATGCCCACCATGTGGACGTCCAGCCTGTCTTTGAACACCCGCACCAATGGGGCCTCAACGACCTCTCGTGGAAGCCCATTCCACACCCTCAGGGTCCTGACTGTCAGGAAGTGCTTCCTGGCACCTAAAGCCCTGTTCATGCAGGGCTTTTCTCCGCCATTCCACACCCTCGGGGTCCTAACTGTCAGGAAGTGCTTCCTGGCACCTAAAGCCCTGTTCATGCAGGGCTTTTCTCCGCCATTCCACACCCTCGGGGTCCTCACTGTCAGGAAGTGCTTCCGGGCACCTAAAGCCCTGTTCATGCAGGGCTTTTCTCCGCCATTCCACACCCTCGGGGTCCTAACTGTCAAGAAGTGCTTCCTGGCACCTAAAGCCCTGTTCATGCAGGGCTTTTCTCCGCCATTCCACACCCTCGGGGTCCTCACTGTCAGGAAGTGCTTCCTGGCACCTAAAGCCCTGTTCATGCAGGGCTTTTCTCCGCCATTCCACACCCTCGGGGTCCTCACTGTCAGGAAGTGCTTCCGGGCACCTAAAGCCCTGTTCATGCAGGGCTTTTCTCCGCCATTCCACACCCTCGGGGTCCTAACTGTCAGGAAGTGCTTCCGGGCACCTAAAGCCCTGTTCATGCAGGGCTTTTCTCCGCCATTCCACACCCTCGGGGTCTTAACTGTCAGGAAGTGCTTCCTGGCACCTAAAGCCCTGTTCGTCCAGGGCTTTTCTCCGCCATTCCACACCCTCGGGGTCCTAACTGTCAGGAAGTGCTTCC